AGGCGGCACAAAACATATTTCAGTTATATCATACATACATTTATAAACGCCCCCCCTAAAGCCTTATGGGGTACGCTGTCACATCCCCTTGTTGTTTTTCTCCTCTCATCCCTCTGTAAATAAATATTTCCCTTTCTTATATCCATTGTACTTTTCCTGTGGGTGTGTGTTCATTCTGGGGGGGTTGGAACAGGTGCCCTGGGGTGGAAGGGATTTCTCCTGCTGCACACTTTCTCATGGCCAGAGCTGCCTGCAGAGCAGACTCCATCTTGGCTATGAAGGCGCTAAAGTTACACATGAAACCAGGCTTTGGAGGCGAATGGCCCCAGCAGAGACCCTGCACCTTTGCCAAGAGCACCATGTAGATTTGAGTTTACACAGAATTTTCTAGGAGGAGTGGTGGAGTGGTCCTTAAAGAAAGCCCCCACATCTTTCATTACTTGCAGTCCCATGGGTTAGGATGGGACTAGCCCCTCTGGATAAGCTCATTAGGGGCATATGGCCGTAGCATCTCCCCAGTACTAGAAACATCCCCTTTACACCCTCAGGAGATACAATGTATGATGCTGACAGACCCAGTCATGCCAGAGTATATTCAGGTGAATTCACTTGTGTATTAGTATAGATCAAAGTGATTGTTGAAGGTGGAAGAGTGTATGAAAACTAATGGGGCATTACTTACATTGTTTTCACTTATCTACATCATATTACAATGTAATAGCAAACAGTTTCAATGTGTATACCCCTGTAACTAAATAACCCATCGAAGAAGACTGTGGAATGCTAATGAAGGACTTTAACAGAAAAGTGCTAATTTCAAAACAAGTGGCCATTGTGTGTGATGACAGAGGTCAAAGACTCAAAGTGCATTCCTCACTCACTGTCATCAAAGGAAAAGCCCATGTGGATAGAGACACCGTCAGCTTGTTTTCTGTCAGAAGAGGCTATAAATGTGGTTTTAAGGAAAGATCTTTCATCACTGGAGTGACTGGATTCTAACAGGGCAGAATAACCGAACGAGAAGACGGAGAACCCCAAGGTTATTCTGCGTAGCCCTGAGAGACTTTTGGGAAACTGGAAGATTATGACATCTCTGCTACCATTTGGGATTACAAATTGTGACTCACCTATATGCCATATATTTTATCTGCTTTAACCTCTCAATAACTCTCACTTTCTTTTCTTAGCTAATAAATCTTTATTTAGTTTACTGTAGAACTGACTGCCAGCACTGTGTTTGGTGTAAGATCTGGAGTACCAACTGATGTGGTCTCATGGGACTGGGAGCAACCTGATGTTGTGTAATTCGATTTGTGACCTTTTATAACAAAGTCAAGTTTGTCTAGGTGGCAAGATAGACTGGAGTGTCTAAAGGGACTGTCTGTGACTCCATGGTAAGACTTGTTTAGTGACCCAGGAGTTCACATTTATCTCTGGTTTGGTGAAATCTAACTATAGAACACACTACCAGCTTGGGCTGTCTGCCCTGTTTTCTAACAGGTTGCCCTGAGGTAGGCAGGTTGTGAGCCACTCCAGACATCACACAATGTCAGAAGTTCTGGATTCTGATCTGGATCTGGACTGGGAAGGTAGGAGATGGACTATTTGATGGTAGAAAAGGAAATAACTGAGCAGGGGTTAAGTAGCGAGCAGGCCCTGAGCGGCCATCTTCCCCCACTCACAATCACTTAAAATGTCTGTGGCAACAATCTTGGCAAGTCCTGGGGGCGTATGAATATGGGGGGGTTGCCTACAGCCCAGAGATGGGTTAATCCAGCCCTAAGTATGCCAAATCCTATGTTCCTGTGACTTTCTCAATACTTTTGAACTGAGCACAGTTCATGATGGAGCTCTGACCCTGATTGGGAGTATGGGAGCTAACATAAATAATAGAAATATCTCTCAAAGGAATATGATAGGTACTGTTTTTAGTCCCACCTATCTTTTGAACTTTCATCAGTTAATAGCCTCATTATTGGTTTTGGTTTAGCTTTGTCTTTTAGTAACAGTACCAGCAGCACTAACACTGCTGGATTCTCATCTTACGGATAAATCTGGTGCATCACAGATCAGGACCTGTTTGGTTGTATTTACACAGGACTTCCATTAATGGAATGTCTAGCCTTATAGAAAAGGCAAATATAAAACACTTGTACATGGCACACTCAACCCATGATCTTCGTGTCTTTTAGACTAGCTGCATGAAACAACTGGACACAGTATGGAAATGCCATAGCAGAAGCTTCATAAGGAAGGAACATATCTTCCATGTGTCTGACCCTCAGAGCATCAGGTAGAGAAAGCAGAGGAGAATGTGTGGTGTCACCCTATTGCCCTCACTAATATTTTTCAGAACTGCATAACACACAAATGAACAGGCAAAACTGCATCTGTTTTGCATGCATAATTGCTACTACATGGATATACATGAAATAGTTCCACACACAAATGAGAATTTATGCATCAAACTGTCAATTTGTGTTCACAATCATTATGATGATAGTAGTGTGTGTTTAGATTAGGTGTACAAATGTACACACTCATGCCTTTTTACGGACGCATTTCAATATGCATAGTTCTAAAAGTCAGATCAAGTATATTTTTTGTTTTCAATGCTAAATTAGTCCATTAGGCTTTTCCACTGTAGTAATATAACTTGGAAACAGCACTGGACTACAGCATCCAGCAGTCTGACTTTTCTATAATGGAAGGTACCGCCCAGTCCATTAAATCTCCCTTGTTTAATCTCTCAGGCTGGTCCAAAATGAGTTCAAAAAGTGACTCATCCTTTTTATATCACATAGGACAAAAAGATGGTCTTTTGTATTTGATTTCCTAATTCACAGTAAATGATAGAGAAGAAAGCTTTCTCAGCAGGTTCATCAGGCTTTTCATCTAGTGAAAAATAGTTACATATTGTAATCCTGGGTCCCTAAAGTATTTGCTGTTTTCTCTATTCTCCAGCTCCATTTCCATACTCATAGCTGCACAAAAAGAAAGATGTCTCACAGAAAGGCAGTGTTTGTGCACTATGTAAATTATTAAATCCTTCTATACAAGATCTACTCCGCTCTTGCAAGTATAGGAAGAGAAAGCACTGGAAACATAATGCATTATAATAGAATTGCCCCTGTCAACCACATTAGAGCTTCAAACTAATCCTCAGGGTAGAACCTAACACATTAAACTGTACAGGGCACAGTTAATATCAAAATAGGGCACTCCTGACAGACGAAAGGCCTTGAGGCTTAAACATAACTGTCTGCAACCTTTTTCCATCGGAGAGTAATTTGTAGTGCTTAATTAATTCTTGGCATTCCTTTGGAGGCAAAATAGTACTTACTTTCACACAATTTTAAGAAAAAAATAGAAAAGACTAGAGATAACAGCATGCTTCAGTTGGCAAGCAAAAAGATTATTTTTTGTTAATTGAAAGAAAGGACTAATTTTATTTGAGCTTTATACCACTGCAGCTACAAAACCTTGAGTAATATGGATGAAATCTGGGTCCCAAAGTCAATGGCAAAACTCCCTTCATTTCAGGCAATCTTAGCATACCTCTATAGCTGCAATATCTTTTGGACACATTACAACACCACAGCTCTACTGTGACAAAATGTAAATAACCACCATATAAAAGCTTAATTCTCAAGGGGTTACCCGTACATGTTTATGAGATCATAGATATCAAATACACCTCTACCCCGATATAACGCGACCCAGTATAACACGAATTCGGATATAACGCGGTAAATCAGTGCTTCGGGGGGCGGGGCTGTGCACTCGGCGGATCAAAGCAAGTTCGATATAACGCGGTTCACCTATAACGCGGTAAGATTTTTTGGCTCCCAAGGACAGTGTTATATTGGGGTAGAGGTGTACTGTAGCAAGTATTATGCAAATTTCCCAATATTTCCAACCTTCTCTGTTGTCAGTAAAGTAGAAACTCTCACAGCCAGACCCAGGTCTGGAAAGAGGTGGAATTTAGCAGGATGGTGGTTTGTTTGTTTTTTAATGTGTACCATCATTTCTTATTAATGATATTACACAGTGATTAACATGTTTAAAATTCATCAACTGAGGATCAGACTTATGCTTACAATCCCAGCACTTATTGCAATGCTGAGTTGCAATCTCAGCTCACAGGTACAGATGGCCCAGCTGACAGACTCTCACTTCTAGCTCTCATCTACCATATGCAAAGATTTTAACTAAATCATTATTAATAATTGGGGTTTAAATATTTTATGCCAGGACTTACAAAGTTTCTGGTGGGAATACTCAATTACTAAGTTCTGACTTGAATTAACAAATCAATTCTAATGTACTGCAATTCACATTTGTTCAGCACCAAGATGATCTTAATTTACAGGGTGATGGCTTTAACATATAATACACACAAAAAATCTTACCTGGATAATGTGTTTCAGTTTATCAATAATCTGATTTATTACAGGATCTGTTCCTTTCACTTTTACTTCTGGATTCACAGACTGAGCTTTGACTCCATTGCCAACCACACGGTGGGTATAGCTAATATAACAAAGAAATATGTTTTAGTAAACTGATGTAACTTCTTCAGAGAATGTATTTACCTGTAAATACTAGCTGACACAACCTCAATTGGCATTGCCATTCCATTTTAATGACTGCATGTTTATTTTGTCTTTGTAGGCTTTGTTACCAGAAAGTTACACAGTATGGTAAAATTGATATATGTTACAAAGTTTTGATAAGATTTTTCATTTTTTGTTATTTCTGAACATTTTGTAATAAGAAAAATAAATGTAAAAATAAGAATTATGAAAGGACAAGCATGCACATCATACCATTCTGTGACCTTTTTTATTTTGTTAAGTGCATGAGAATTGGCTTTTGCTCTACGTCACTTTCTCAGCAATATTCTGCCAGCTGTTAATCAAAAAGGAAAGTAAAAGAATCCTGTGGACATTCTATCACAGAGGTGTCAAATGCCCAAATTCCACCTGCTAGATGTGTGTGTGGTGGGTCAGCATGGCATATTCAAATTCTGTAGAATCTGAGTTTTCATTGTAAATAATTTCTTGTCTTCTTGGTTTCAAAGAGAACTTTCCAAATATGAAGTGTGCATGAACAGGTAGTGTTGTTTGCGTGAATTTGCAGACAGCCAGAAACAATAGCTTTGAGGGGTGTGGATTCCCTTTCTTTTGTTGATATAATTGGGATGTTATTAACTCTAAAGTCCTATGACGATCCTTTAATGTCAACTGTAACTATTCCACCAATGATCACTTTGGCAGATGGAATAGAAGACAGGTTGGGAGTGAAGCCCATGGAGGGTGAGAATTGACAACATGCAAAGAGAGGGAAGATAAAAAGAAACAGTTTGGGGATCAGCGTGTGAGTGTGATGGTTAGAGTCAGAACCGGGGTCAACATCAGGTGCCCAGCCAAAGGCCACAGCCAGGATTAACAGTAGGGTGTGTATGAGCAGGGACCTGGAGCAAGGTAAGAAAGAACCAGGGCATGGCAGGGGAGGGCGCCGAGCCCGGCCGCAGGCCCTCAATCCCTGACCGGCCGGAGCGCCGGGAGCAGTGCGGAGAGCCTGGCCGGGGCTTTCCGCTCTCCCCGGCGGCGAGCCCCCGGTGGCCAGAGCGCTTGGAGGAGGACGGAGAGCCTGGCCGGAGCTCTCCGCTCTCCCCGGTGGCCAGAGTGCTGGGGGGAGGGCGGAGAGCCCCCGCGGCTCTCCACTCTCCCAGACCGGCCAGAGTGCCGGGGGGAGGCGGCGAGCCCGCTGCGGCTCCGCTCTCCCCGGCGGCCGGAGCGCCGCGGAGAGGGCGGCGAGCCGAGTCGCGGCCCCGCTCTCGGGCCGGAGCACCCCGCCACGCCGCCCCCCTCCAGGCGCCGCCCCAAGCACATGCTTGGTGGGCTGGTGCCTGGAGCCGGCCCTGGAAAGAACCAGGATGACCCACAATTCTCAGCTGTCTGCCTAGAGACAGATCATCTGCTCATGCAGTGTTGATGCCTCTTGGGGTATAGGGAACTCCACTGTGTCCATTCTTGGCTGCAGGGGTGGCTCTATGTATTTTGCTGCCCCAAGCACAGCAGTCAGGCGGCTTTCAGCGGTGCGTCTGCGGGAGGTCCGCTGGTAACGCGGATTTGGCGGCATGCCTGCGGGAGGTCCGCCGGTCCCGCGGCTTCGGCATACCTGCCGCCGAATTGCCGCCGAAGCCGCGGGACCGGCGGACCTCCCTCAGGCATGCTGCCAAAGGCTCCCTGACTGCTGCCCCCACAGCGACCGGCAGGCTGCCCCAGGCACACACTTGGTGTGCTGGTGCCTGGAGCCACCCCTGCTTGGCTGGGCCCACTTGAAAATATTGGTAGTGGTCCAAGCAAACTGTAGGGACAAAGGCAAGGATGATTGAAGTCTAAGATGGAGGTTGGGTGTAAGAGCAGATACCTGGAGAAAGGCAAGAAAGCAGAAACTGGTAACAGATGGGGGTCTGGGATAAAGAGGACCCGGACAAGGTGGGAGGCAGGACCAGGATGAGGCAGGAAGGCAGAGGTCAGGTGTCAGGAAAATAGACGAGGTCCATAGTAGCATCCAGCCAGTGATTCACCTGGTTAGTAAGACAATTCCTGTGCTTCTTTCTGGCTTAAGTAGTGTGTCCTAGCCAACCAGAAGCTTCCTAGGCAGGACCCTTTGTGAGTTAGAGCTTTGCTAGCTCCCTTCTCTACTAGTTTGAGTGAGATGGTGTCCACAGTCTGAGCACTGCCTTAGGACTCAGGGGGCTGGGCTTGAAGCCCAGAATCTTTCACGTGGAGATAGGAAGGTTAGGAAGAAAGGGTGGAAAGAGCAGAAATAGCAGTGATAAAAGCGGGCATATTTTCCCACTGAATGATGCTCAGTAAGGTGCTGAACAAATAATACATTATAACAACTAAAAGTTCAGTTACTACACCACAGCCATATTCCATACTTTATATTTGTGCAAATATCCCATTGACGTCCGTGCTGTGGATGAAGGGCAGCGTGTAATCCTAAATGTATACCACAGCCCAAGGACCATAATTAAAAACGGTATTTCACTTTCTCCAGAGAATGAGTTTAATACCTTCATACTAATGGGACCCCGAGGCCTCTTTCAATCTCACAAAGGGATCCTTTCTGTTCATAATGGAAAATATTATACTCAAAAATAGCTACTAGAATATTTTTCTGTGAATTATGATTTCTGCAAAACATTATAAAATCTGAACTCACATGGGGCACACTGGACTAGATTCAGTGATACGCTCGAGCTGACTGATCCTGCAAGTCAGTGGCAAAGTGACTTGAATGTGCAGGACCAAGACTCAGCTGCTTTGCACCTGATGAATCTGGTTCATTTTGCTTCACATTGAAAGGACTGAATGAGAACTCAGGACCTTCAGAATTTGGCTCTGCATGAATTATTTTTTATGGACTCCTTCACGTTTCAATTTCTTTTGTATTTGTTCAAGTTCATTGTAAGTAAATATAATATTAAAATTACATACATTGGTAATGTTGAACAATGAGGGGAATTAAGGCTTACAACTGCTCTACTGGAATGTGGCATTTGTATTTCTTCTTCTTTTTTACAAAAAGCAATATTGAAGACACTGTAAAAGTTTTCTGTTCTCTATACAAAGGCATTTAGGTTTGCACCAGACAGTACTTTGTACCCAAGTACTGGGAGAAATATCTGAAACAGTCAGTTTAATGGAATGTATGTAACTTATGCAGCACAGCTGCTAAACTTGGGGGAATATCAGGATACATTATTTTAGCAATATCATAAACCTTGTAGCTGGTCCTGTGACTGGGCCTCCACCATCCTCTTATCACATAAGATTTAAGGGAATGAGGGAAGAGGGCTGTCAAATTGCTGTATCAGACATTAGGAAGGCCAAAGCCATTCTCTGGCAGTGTTAGGGTATGTCTTCCCCTAAGTCTACTTCCAATTCAAGTTTATCAGGTAATTAGACCCCATTTGTAATGAGTACCTACTTTGGCCACCTGTCACCAGGAGGTGAAAGCAATTATCTTGTCTGCCTCTCTCTCCCCCCCTACCCTCTCCAACCATGGACAGCTGGGTTCCAGATAGTTAATTCCTTCCCTAGAATCAGCTAAAAATATATCTGCTCACTTAGAGGAGAGGAAAGTGATCAGGAACAGTCAGCATGGATTCACCAAGGGCAAGTCATGCCTAACTAACCTAATTGCCTTCTATGACGAGATAACTGGCTCTGTGGATGAGGGGAAAGCAGTGTATGTGTTATTCCTTGACTTTAGCAAAGCTTTTGATACAGTCTCCCACAGTATTCCTGCTGGCAAGTTAAAGAAGTATGGGCTGGATGAATGGACTATGAGGTGGATAGAAAGCTGGCTAGATCATCGGGCTCACCAGGTAGTGATCAATGGCTCCATGTCTAGTTGGCAGCCGGTATCAAGCGGAGTGCCCCAAGGGTCGGTCCTGGGACCGGTTTTGTTCAATAACTTCATTAATGATCTGGAGGATGGCGGACTGCATCCTCAGCAAGTTTGCAGATGACACTAAACTGGGAGGAGTGCTAGATATGCTGGAGGGTAGAGATAGGAAACAGAGGGACCTAGACAAATTAGAGGATTGGGCCAAAAGAAATCTGATGCGGTTCAACAAGGACAAGTGCAGAGTCCTGCACTTAGGATGGAAGAATCCCGTGCACTGCTACAGACTAGGGACCGAAAGGCTAGGCAGCAGTTCTGCAGAAAAGGACCTAGAGATTACGTGGATAGAAGCTGGATATGAGTCAACAGTGTACCCTTGGTGCCAAGAAGTCTAACGGCATTTTGGGCTATATAAGTAGGAGCATTGCCTGCAGATCAAGGGACATGATCATTCCCCTCTATTTAGCATTGGTGAGGCCTCATCTGGAATACTGTGTCCAGTTTTGCGCCCCACACTACAAGAAGGATGTGGAAAAATTGGAAAGAGTCCAGCGGAGGGCAACAAAAATGATTAGGGGGCTGGAGCACATGACTTATGAGGAGCAGCTGAGGGAACTGGGCTTATTTAGTCTGCAGAAGAGAAGAATGAGGGGGGATTTGATAGCGCTTTCAACTACCTGAAAGGGGATTCCAAAGAGGATGGATCTAGACTTTTCTCAGTGGTATCAGATGACAGAACAAGGAGTAATGGTTTCAAGTTGCAGTGGTGAAGGTTTAGGTTGGATATTAGGAAAAACTTTTTCACTAGGAGGGTGGTGAAGCACTGGAATGGGTTACCTAGGGAGGTGGTGGAATCTCCTTCCTTCGAGGTTTTTTAAGGACACACTTGATAAAGCCTGGCTGGGATGATTGAGTTGGGGATTGGTCCTGCTTTGAGCAGGGGGTGGACTAGGTGACCTCCTGAGATCCCATAGAATCATAGAATATCAGGGTTGGAAGGGACCTCAGGAGGTCATCTAGTCCAACCCCCTGCTCAAAGCAGGACCAATCCCCAACTCAATCATCCCAGCCAGGGCTTTGTCAAGCCTGACCTTAATAACCTC